GCTAGCTAAAAACGGCAGCTAGGAAAGGAGGAGTCTAGAAAAGGGTAATAAGGGATGGCTAGAAAGGCATGGCAAGAAACGAGTAAATAACTATAGGTCGTAATATCTATAGGTCTAAGTCTAGCTAATGAAAATATAAGTACGTAACTTATATAAATATATATCGAAAAGGCTACGTGGCTTAGATCTACCGTACTACTATAACCTCCCTAATTTAATTAATCCGTAAGGAGTAATTAAACTCCTAATAATAGGTACGGTGGCTCTCGTTCCTATTCAACCTAATCCTAATCCCGATTAACCCTAATTAACTAAAAGCTAGCTAGTTCTATTAAAGGCTAACAGGATAAGTTAGGTAGGTTAACTAGGAACGATTGTAATAGTAATAAGTGGGTAGTAGGATAGGTGACTAACTACAGCCGTACCTGATCCTAAACCTAATTCCTAATTAATCCCGGACCTATTCAATCGCTATTAACTGGGAGCTAAGTCAGTTTAATTAACGATTAATAGGAAATAGGAAAGATCTAATAATAAGAACTAGGCTAGCGGAGCTATAACCTATAAACTAACCTAATTAACCTATTCCTAATTAACCCTAATTAACTAGGAACGAGCCAGGTCTATTAGGGCCATTAAGAAATAGGGATTAATCGGAAAATAGGAACTATAACGGGCAGGTAAAATAAGCGTAACTCCCGTAAGAAACGAAAGAAATAATCCCATACGATATAACGTAATCTCTATTCTTCTCGTCTATGGCTATTTTTTACCGATTCTTTTTAACTAATTCCTAATCCTATAAACTAACTAATATATCCTATTTATACCCGACTATTTCCGTTTCTAACTATTATTCGTATAACCGTTCTTATATTCGTCCGGCAGCATCTACCGGGCTTCCCTTAACCCTCGATCCCTCCCCTATACGTAGTTCTAGGGGCTCTCTAGGCTCTTTCTACTAACCATATATCGGTAAAGGCGATAAGAGGGGTCTCCGGGTATTAACCTATAACTCGTTTCTTTCCTATAGCTATTTCTAGGCTATCTTATTTAATATCTTATTTATTTCGTATCGCGGTATCGTCTATATAGGTCTTTCGCGTTAATCGGTAGGTTTCCCGATTAGGTTCGTAGGTATAAGGTTTATCGGTATCTTCGTATGGTAATTAAGGGTATCGTAGTACCTATCGATTAAGAAGAAACCTCCCTAGGTACCGTAACTAGCTAGAAGGGATAAAACAAAGGCGATCGGAGCTATCGGTAAGCCTCTTGCAATTAAAATAAACTGATCGGTAAAGAACGGACTGCCTTTAAGCGCGTGCGAGGTTATAAAAAGGGGTGGTAGCGGTGACTTAGTTAGATTAACTAAGGGCGAGAAAAACTACTATTTAAGTACTGGTAAAAACGAAGGCGAAACCGGGTAAAAACGGACATAGCTCCTTTAAAAGAAATAACTAAGAAACGAAAATAAAATAGATCTACTAATCGGCGAACGAGCTTTTAGGTAAGCTGATCAAAAGCTAATGGGAGGGCGTGGTTATTAATGGTCGCCATAGTTATCTGCCCTCCCTGTTAATCCAGCTACCTAAAAATTCAGGCTATGGCCTAAAAAGGCTTAATCCGAAAGCTACGAAAACGGTTCTAGAGCCACGAAAATAGCTCTTAATTAACTAAAAATCAGGGAATCTCTTAATCGACGAATCCTGAACCTAATAACTATAAAAACGGACGTAAAAGGTTACTCCTAAGATAAGGTAAGGTTCGAGTTACTAGGTAGTCGCTACTAAACAGGAGCAGCGTAGGTACGCTAACGGAGGCACGAAATAAGGACTACCTAACTACTAATAACTGGCCTAGTACCGATTAACCAAGATTATAACTATAAATAGCTATAATCGGTTAATCGGCTAATTAAAAACGGTAGCTGGGAAAGGAGGAGTCTAGAAAAGGGTAATAAGGGATAACTAGAAAGGCATGGCAAGAAACGAGTAAATAGCTATAGGTCGTAATATCTATAGGTCTAAGTCTGGCTAATGAAAATATGAGTACGCGACCTATATAAATATATATCGAAAAGGCTACGTGGCCTAGATCCACCGCACTACTACAGTAATTATACGAATAATTATACGAGTAATTATTTTCATTTATAATAAACTATAAAGTATTAAGTAAGGGGTACGAAGAGCATATAACTTAGGAGAAAATACCATTAATAATAAACCGGAGCATATACGGATAGGGGGATATAAGAAAGCCCGAGATAGGGTACCTAGTAATCGATTAACCTTAACGAGATATAGCGAGACTAAGGAATAACCCCTTAAGCTACTATCGTAAACAAAGAACTATAGTTAACCTTATTATCGTAAGCTTAACTAGGGGGTATATTACGTAGGCATATACCCCTAGTAGAAACTACCTAGCTTACCTAAGCTAATTAAGTACTACTATATATACCTATAGATCGCTCTATACTCTCTAATAGCTTTCCTTCTTTTCTAGTTAGTTAATATACGCCTTCTTACCTTCATTCCATTACTTCCTTTGCGAATAACCTATTAACCTAAGCTTAGCTCTCGCCAGCTACGTAACATATATTTATTTTAATTATAAGCGCTTAAGTTACTTCGTCGTACCGCTATAGCTAAATAAGTAACTTTTACGTTTTGCTCCTTTTCTTTCCTTACCTCTTATGCCTTCGGGCTAGTAATTATTATATCCCTACGACTAAGGGATATAACTAAGATATAATAACTACATTAGATTCCTTATCTCTCGATTAATATAGTAATATTAGTTTTATTTATCTTAGACTATCGTACGAGCTATAGTCTTCGATAGAATGCACTTTCGAGTAAACCTATCCGGGACTCTAGTATCGCGTACGCTCTGCTCCTCCTTAATATTGAACAGGAGTAGCGTGGGCACGCTGACGGAGGCACGAAACAAGGGCTATCCAACTGCTAACAACTGGCCCAGTGCCGATTAACCAAGATCACAGCTATAAACAGCTGTAATCGGTTGATCGGCCAGCTGAAAACGGCAGCTGGGAAAGAGAGAGAGAGAACTAGAAAAGGGCAACGAGAATGGCTAGAAAGGCATGGCAAGAAACGAGTGAATGGCTGTAGGCTGTGATGTCTATAGGTCTAAGTCTAACTGATGAAAATATGAGTGCGCGACCTATATAAATAGACATCGAAAAGGCTACGTAGCCTAGATCCACCGCACTATTATAATAACTAATACTTTATATACTAAGGAGGTATAGAGCGTATGCGATACTAATATCCCGGATAGGTTTACTCGAAAGTATATTCTATTAAAGACTATAATACGTACGACGGTTTAAGATAAATAAAACTAATATTACTATATTAATCGAGAAACGAGGAATCTAATGTAGTTATTATATCTCGGCTATGCCCCTTAGTCGTAGAGATATAATAGTCGGTAGCCCGAAGATATAAGAGATAAGGAAAGAAAAGAAATAAAATGTAAAAGTTACTTATTCGGTTATAGCGGTACGACGAAGTAACTTAAGCGCTTATAACTAAGATAGATATTGTAGTGGTGCGGTAGATCTAGGCTACGTAGCCTTTTCGATGTCTATTTATATAGGTCGCGTACTCATATTTTTATTAGTTAGACTTAGACCTATAGATATCACAGCCTACAGCCATTCACTCGTTTCTTGCCATGCCTTTTCTCGCGATCCTCGTTACCTGTTTCTAGTCTCTCTCTTCCTTTTCTTTTTTCCCTTTCCCAGCTGCCGTTTTCAGCTGGCCGATCAACCGATTACAGCTGTTTATAGCTGTAATCTAGAGTTGATCGGCACTGGGCCAGTTGTTGGCAGTTGGGTAGTCCTTTTCGTGCCTCCGTCAGCGTGCCCACGCTGCTCCTGTTCATTATATAACCTTAACTAATTCTTTAATATATTGAAATAAATACCCTCACTACCTACTACTACTAATGAGTATCGCACGGTTGTAATACTATAAAAAGAAAATATTAACCGCTTATTAAAAAGATACTTTAATACTTTAGCTGCGGACGATTATATAAAATAAACAATATTTCTATAATTTAATAGTTATTTTCTTAACTCATTAGTTATTAATATTAAGTATATAGTTTACTCTTAATAGGTACTTTAAACTAGAAGATTAAGAAGTATAAAAAGTAGTAGTTATCTAACTATAACCGATTCCTTAATATATTAAGATAAGTATTAGTACTACTAAGTAATACTAATAAGTATAGCTTAGTTATAATAAGATTTAAAAAGAAAAAAAAAAGTAAGAAAGAGGTTAATTAATTAAAAAGCAAAAAAGCGTTATTAATTTAAAATAATCTAAATATCTTAATTAGTAGAAAAAACTTATATGATAAGTTATGTTTAATTATAAACCCTTAATTAATATAATATTAAAGCACGTAACTGTCCTCTCTCTATATAACTAACTTCTAGAAGCGCGGCTTTAATAAAGCATACTTTCCTTTCTTTTCCTCTTCATATAGCTTTATTTCTTTAATTTATATCCTTTTACCTAGCTAATAACCCTTGAAATCGTAACATATATATAGTATTTAATTTTATAAAAAATATCTTAAAAATATCTTAATTTCAACCCATTTTCATTACCTATAAAAGTTTCTTATAATTAAAGAATTCTCTAAACAGTAATATAACCTATTTAAAAGCTTTAAAAATCGATTATGAGCTTAAATCGAGCTTTAAAAACGAGGAAGGTATCATTACCTGTGCACACTGCTGCGCAGCGCTAGTCGATGCCTTCACAGAGGGACAATTATTAATACACTGCATAACTAGAGCTATCATTTCTTTGCAATCTGGTTACGACCAAAGGGAAGCACGGAGTGGTTCGTAGGTCCTACCCGCCATCGTTACTATGCGCTTTCATAAGTCCAATCCGTAGTCTTTGTTATTCGCCTTTTCGTTCTCGTTTTTCTTGTCTCAACACACACACATATCGGCCGCGATCGTTACAGGGCGACGAGACGTAAATAGTCAACTAGTTTGTCAACTTGCTCAATAACCCACCTGTTTCTCCTCCCGCTCCCGCGTTTCTCTGCGGCCATGTATCGACGGGGCCCCCCAATATCAACACCTGCTGGCGTGCAGTGCCAGAAGTGCCTAAAAAGAGATACGTCTAGCCGTTCCCGTCTCCCTATCCACGTGTCGCCCATACCTAATACCCTCAGCACGGCATTACTCGTACGAATGCAAGGCTTCCACGCAGGACCGGCCCTACGTCCCCCGACCGTCGCGCACGCAGCAGTTTTTAAACCCGAAACTGGCGCCGAAGTTGACGAGCGAGGCGCCTGGCAACTTACGAAAGGAGTGCGTAGAATCCGCCCGTCTCAGTGTGTTGTCTCGCTTCTCCTTACTAACAGCGAGCAGGAAAGGTCTGGCAGACCGGGAACTCGCCAAGCGTGAGGCCGAGCGTGCCAGGAAGAGGGAGTTAGAAGGAAAGGATTCCGATGGCGGTGATGCCAAACGCAGGAGATCGGCCTCCTACAACTCTGCGTCCTCCACTGGACGGACGCCTTCACCGCCCCTGGCCGGACTACCTTCGGCACCACTCCCTAACGTGATTAGCCCCGAAGTCCGTGTCAATCGGTCCCCGGCCAGACACGCCTCGCGGCATGGGCGAGAATCATACGATTCTACTAGCGATCTCGAGAGACGCTACTCACCAAGTCCCCGGAGGCAGGCTAGGGCCCATACCCCTCTCGAACGATCGCAACGAAGGTCGAAGCCACCAGCTAGGCACGCCAGTCCCGTCCACAGCCATTACGACTCAAAGAACGAGGCTCCGAACCAGCGGTCCCCCCCCTACAGTCGCCGGAGGAGATACTCTTCAAGCCCCAGCCGGTCGCCGCCGCCGCCACCGCGTGATGGGCAGCGCTACCGCTCGAGGTCATCAGATCGACCCAGGCGGCGCGGTAGAAGCCCAGCGCGGTACGCCGGCACTTGGCTGGGTCGAGATCCGGCGCACGCTCGCGGTGGTCGTGGACGGGATGAGGCGCCGTCGCGGAGAGAGCAGGCTGAGCGCAGCCTGAGTCCCTTCTCACGGAGGTTGGCTCTCACGCAGGCAATGAATATGAGTCGTTGAAGATGGGCCGTTGGGGAAAAGGAAAGCGATAAAAAAGGGATGAGAAGCCGAGAGAAAGAGAATGGGTATCATCATGAACCTTAACCATAGTTTTAGCAGCGTCACCTCCAGTGAGTGCTATGCTATTCACCTTCACCACTAAAATCTGTGACTGAACGCCGTAACATGCAAGCATTAAATCCATCGCAGAACCCTAGGAAGCTCTCCTCCCCAACTTGTTCTATATGGTAGAATCCTCATCTTCGGCCCATGCTCTCTGGTCCTCCCTCTCTCGAACCCGTAACCCCTCAACTAATGCGACCCCATCTATACCTGTAACCTCCTCCGCCTCTTCGTCGCCACCGCGGCTGGTCGGCCCCTTAGGCGCCGCTTCGTTTCCCCTCCCGGCGTTCTGCCGTTGTTGCTGCTCGGCGGCGGCCTGGGTACCGCCGATTCGCTCGCGGACGAGCCTTGCAATGGCGTTGTCGGTGCGGACGTTGAGCACGGCGAGCTTCGCGTCGAGGTCACGGCGGAGGTCCCAGTTGGGGCGACGCGGCTGCAGCTTGAACAGGTCGATACCGCGGTCGTCGACCGCGTCGTTAGCCGCGAGTCGTCGTACCTCTGCCTCCACCGCAGCCGCATGCTCCTCCAGAGTGGGCCCCTCCATACCCGCGGTCGGTGGCGCCTCAAACCCTAGTTTCGGCCCCCGCGTCGCCGCGTCATAGTTCCTGCCCGACAGGTGCAGCCGTGAGACATCGGGCCCATCTTCAGCAGCAGAGGCCGGCTGGGGCGGTTGTGGCGTTGTCGATGCCGCTGCTCGTTCGCGTTCCAGTTCCGGGGTCGCGAGCTCGTCCGCAGGTTGTTTCCGCTTCAGGGTCTTAAGCTTGGCGAGCCGCGCCTTGCGGTCGTCAGACGCCGCGCTGAGGGTCGCGTGTGATGTTGACATGCTTCGGATTAGGTCAACGCTCGCGTTGTTGGTTGCTTAATGAGTTGGTGCTGCCGATGTCGTTATTGCTGCTGGCGGTTGTTCTCGACAGAAACCCAGCGATACGATACCACGGGGCCAGCGCCAGGAGGTTAGGTTACTAGGCCAGATCAATTACTCGCCATGCTACATGGTACGTTACCAGCTTACGAGCTACCCCAGTTTAACCATAGGCGTTTACCAGCCCGTCGGTCTGTCGGGGGGAGACGAGTGTTTATCGATAAGATAATGCTTATCGATAAATGGTGAAGACCCGGAGGTCAAACCCACCGGTGGGGGAACCTCTAAGATCGGTTTTACTATCCAGAATCGGAATGGGAATCTAACCTAAGTTACGCCGCTTTTAGCCTAAGCCTAAACCTAAGTCTGGCTTAATAAGACCCGCTTTTTATAACCTAATATAAATAAACTTGCATAATTTTTAAATACGTATTACCGTAATTACGCTGAAAAAACCGTTTAATATAAAATAGACTTTGGTATGTAAGCTTAATCCCCTTCTACGGACTATCCCTTCGCGGACTACCTAAAAAACCCTTACTGTTACTATTATTACGTAAATAATTAAAGCTATTTAGACTATTAAAACTAATTAAAACCTTCCGATTACGGCGTTACTACCTTAATATAGTCCTCCGCTTACGATCCTTCGTTTTTAGCCGTTTCCTACGCCGTTTCTTACTCGTTAGGTACCTCCTCGTCGCTTGCCTCGTCCTTATATACGATCCTGCCTTTTAACGACCTTTTCGCTTACCGTATATTAGCTATACGTACGAAGCGCTTACCTAGCGCCGGGAGGACCTTCCGACGGGTCTTAGGAGTATTATTATAGCTTAGTGCCGATCGAATTAAATTATAACTATAAATAACTATAATTAGCTAATCGGTTAACTAAAAACGGTAGTTAGGAAAAGGAAAAACTAATAGAAATAAATGGAAATAGCGAATAAAGGCATAATAAGAAACGAATAAAGAGCTATAGATCCTAATATCTATAGGTCTAAGTTTAATCGATAAAAAGATAAGTACGAAACCTATATAAATATATATCTAAAAGGCTACGTAGCTTAGTTCTACCGTATTACTATAATAATCGAGACTCTTAATATTTAGGATCGTATTATTTAAATCCTAGATTTCGAGGCTAATAAGACTTTGTAATAGTAGTATATTTTCCTTATCGGGGTTAGCTATACCGCGGCTATAAGATAAATCTAATTATATCTATAAAGGGTTATCGATTCCGTTAGTTTCCTAGATAAGTCGGCATTAAAGTACGTCGTCGCGTTAGTAGCTATATTATCCGACGCCTAACGTTACTTCTCTTTATATATTTTAAATAAGGTAGTATTACTTTCGTATTATTACCTTCGTACCTACGTTTAAAGTTACGCTACCTTAACTACCTTTAATCGCGGTAAAAGAATAAACTTAAGTTTATTAATCTATTATTGCTACTAACGGATTAGTTTAGGCTTCGTAAAGAATTTCCCGTATCTGTAAATATAGTAATTTATTTTCTTATTCCTAACTTTAACCGTTAGGAAATACTATATCGCGTAACTTAATTACGTAAGGAATTAGCGACTAATAATACGGAGTAAAGTATATCGATATAGTCTTATGGAAGGCCTTCTTAGTTATTATTTCTCGCTTTAAGGTAATAAGTTCTTTTATATTTATATAATTCTATTTATTATATCGAGGAATGCTTTAGCTATTGCTTTATCCGTTATAATGGATATAAATCTAAAAGAGAACCTAAAAAAAGAACTCGAGGTTATTTATAAAGAAATAATCGTCGCCGGAGAGGATCCCGATTACTATAAAAGCCTTCGTACCGGTTATTTCTTTAGTATTTAATGCTTATAATCGATCGGTTTTAATAACGAGATCGAGATTAATTAAAAACGAAGGCTAAGAAAGGTTTTCGTTATCCTTATTAATTATAAGATTATTAATTAAGATATCCCGATAAAGAATATTAGCCTTATATAAAGATTCGTATCTTTTAATATATCCCTTTAACGCCTTAAGTAAGGCTACTTATAAGCTTACCTTATAAATTAGCCTCCCGTAATCGCGTAAAATAATGCGTCGGTAAACCCGGTTCGGGAGTAGACTTCTAAGTTTTATAGGAAACGCCGAACCCGAACCTAAACTGAACCTCTTACCGGGCGGGAAAGGGGCGCTAATTTAATAGGATAAGCGTTTAAAGCTCGTAAAACTTAAGCGTAATCGAGAAAACTAGGCTAGGCGCTTTTAGCTATAGTTATTAGCCTTTATAACGTTTAATCCTTTACGAATATAGCCTTAAATATCGTCGTTATTATATCCTATATAAACCGTCGTATAGGCGTAATACCGCGCGACATTCTTTACGCGTTTCTTTATTACTACTTTAAGTAATTTGCCTTCGTTGTTACGTTCTAGAAATTACTATAAATCCTTAATAATAAGCGGTATTATTTTATTTCCTTCGGGGTACGCTTTTTAATAGGTAGTTATACGGTTTATTATACCTAGTATCCGCCTTATAAGATTATCGATTATGATACGCTTTATCGTATTATTTCGCTTAATATCGATATATTAATAGTAATCTAATTTTATTATAATAGGGTCGAAGCCGAGCGATTAGTCGTTTATCTAAAGGAAATTAAGAATAATTAATATAAATAGCTACCTTATATTATAAATATCGAATTTCTTAAATGCGATAGCGCTAAGCCGGTCGAATTCCTAAAGCCGTATTTAACGTTTATATAAGGTAAAGGCTAGAATAAAGCGGCGAATAAGTTAAGAAGTAAATACTTCTTTCGCGAATCTTCTTAAAGTAAGCCGCGCCTTAGAATCTATGTCTTCTTTAGGATTACTCTTTAGTTCCTTAGGTATTAAGATATATAATTAATCGTTTCCTACCGTCGGGTTATTTATAAAAATAAAATCAGGTTTCCGCTTCGTAACCGAGCTATGAAACGGTTTATTAAGGTAAGCTAACGGCTTCTATATTATTTTCGGCCTATAGTTCTACGCCTATCGGATAATTTAGTTATATAAATCGGCTAGCTAGGTAATAACGTCGTCCTAGTTAACATCCTTTAATTATTTAATTTAACGACCTTTTCTATAGCGTAGTAGTATCTTATTAATATATTCCTAGAAGATATCTATAAATACTACCTCGAGGTTTAGAATATTACCGAAAAGGGCTTCGTAAAAATTCGGAATATCGACGTATATAACGCTAAGTTTATTTCTAAGGACTTTATCTATATTAACGCGTAATTTAAAGGAATTTATAAAGCTATTTATTTTATATACCGATAGTATTTATAGGAAGAAGGAGACGGATTTTCGCGGAGGGGTAGATTCGGTAACGGCGTAGTAGATTTATTCCTAGATTTCGATATCGGATCGGTAAGTAAGGACGGTATTTAGAAGAGGTTTAATTCGGTTAAGGTAAACGGTATTAAAAGCGAGTACCGGAATAAGATTAGAGATATTTTAACGTAGGTTATTATGGCTTATTTAGAAAGGTAGATAGCGGGAGGCTAGGTAGTTAAGGAATATAGAAAAAAGCGTAAGTATAATAGTTTAAAGATCTAGGTATATATTAAAATAATCGATAAAGAATAAGTAGTTCGTATTTACCTTTACGGTTAACTATATCGAATTCGATAGGATTTTAAACGATTACGTTTAATAACGTACGGCTTAGAGGGTAATTCCGAATAATATCTAGCTAGTATTAATTTATCGTAACGAAAAAGTATATTTAGCGATAATAATTAATAAGGAGAGTCGGTATAGCGCGTTATATACTCGGTCGGCGATATTTACGCTATTACGGATAACTATATTAATAGGTATACGGATTAAGCTAACATTTAATGGAACGTTACCTTCCTTATCCCGTTATATAAACCATTATAGGCTTTATTTAAGCTATTAAAGTATAGGCTAATTATTAGGCATTAATTTTAGGATAAAGCAGGGAATAGGTTATAGCTTTCCTATATACGATTTCCTAGGAAGTCGTTCGGTCCCCGGGTAAAGGCTAAAGTAGGCTTAGGTAATTAAAGCGCTAACGAAAATACATACCTACTATAAGTAAAATATACCGCGGCTATAGCTAAAATAACCGTAAGCGCTCTAAAGCCTAGCTATAAGTACTCTACCTTTATAATAACATTTTATATACCCCCGTTATTCCTTACCTTAAATAGTTATTTATAACGAATTAATATAGCGTCTTATTCTACTAGCTTTAAGAAGATTACCGCGAAGGATATAATAATTATCGCTAAGGTTTAGGAATGCTTTTAAACGAAGCTATTATAGGTATATTCCTTATACTCCCTTTAAACCCCGTCGCTATAGCTAGTTAATAGATTTCTAGGTTAATTAGGAATAGCTTGCCGTTAAAGCCGGCTTCGAGGACGATATTACGGCTAAAGCTTATTATAAGTTACCTCCCGATCTAAATAGCCCTAGCGATACGCTAGGAAAGCGATAATACTCTTATAACTAAGCCGCTTCGATACGATTAAGGACCGAAGATAGAAACGAGTACTACCCCTATAACCGCTTTACGTCCTATTACCTATTTAACCTTAAGGATAAAGAGGATTAAATTAATAGCTTAATATAGAAGGCTAGATTATAAAATATATTAAAGGAATACCTTAGATAATAGAATCGCTTAAAGACGGCCGAGATATTACGTAATATTACGTAGTATAATAGGTTAACGAAGTAAAGTAGCTCCGATCGCGTCGTACTTTACCTCGCGTAACTTACGTAGCTTACGTAGTACTAGCGTAGCTATCTAGATTTATTAACAAGGGATAGGCTAATGTATTATTTCTTTTATTCCGCTTCGAATTTACTTATTTAGGTCGTTTCCTATTAATATACCTATTCTTCTATCGTAACTTAACAGGCTCCCTAACCGATAATATAGTATTTCTAAATAAATAAATTCCTCGATAGCTAGATTATTTAAAAAGGCTAGGCTAAGAAGAAGAGAAAGAAGAAAATAAAAGCCGATAATATAGGCGTTACTTTACGGATTAGGCTACCTTTTAATGTTATAGTAGTACGGTAGAACTAGGCTACGTAGCCTTTTAGATATATATTTATATAGGTCTCGTATTTATATTCTTATCGATTAAATTTAAACCTATGGATATCAGGATCTATAGTTATTTATTCGTTTCTTACTATGCCTTTTTAGCCTTATTAT